GCCCTCTCACTCCATGTTAATTGCACTAACATTATACCCTATCCTTTTGCCCCCTTTGAAAGTCATTTATTTTTTCATGGACAACCAATCTTAGGCATCACCAATGCGAATAACATAAGAACTGTAATTATCTCATCGACAACTTTACATCTGCATTCTTTTTCTATTGAATATGTAATTTTAACATATGCGACTAATCATGATTCATGCACATAAAATTTTTGAATATAAGTTATAATAACTAACACTAATGTCTCAAGTTGTAACTAACATATGTTTGCACTAAAGACCTGTACCATCAATTTGTTTGCATGTACATGTTCACTCCCACAAATAAACATCATCATTAAAAACACTATCAAAGATATTTAGTTTCAAATTATTAACATGATATGCAATTAATCTTTGAGCTTTATTCAAGAGCTTTCCCAATGCATATTTGATTCCTTTACTTAAATAATTTTATTATTACAATTATGATTTTACCAAATAATCATTTTTGCATTATGACTCAGAAACTTCAATAAAATAATCACTGGATAGAAGCATACACAGTTGATAGTATTATTAAAATTTTATAAATTACATATTGATAATATTTCCATTGTGTTAATTGATCCTTTCATTCTGTTCATAAAAATACATCAAGTTTTATTATATGATTAGACCCAATGAGTTTCCTCTTGATACAACTTGATAATAATAAGTAATACTCATAATATCTCACATTTATTTATTTTTATGTATTTAAAAAAATGAGGTAGTAATCTCCCAATGAAGTTTTTTTGTATTGAAGCCACTATCTTCTATCACATACATGTCCACAACATCACCTTTTGTATGTTGTGGACATGCCATTCAAGAAAGAATTAATATAATAAATTATTAGCAGATCAAATGTAGTAATAAAAATTACATTACATTTCAGTTATGCTCTATTTAAAATATGTTTATAAAAAATTATAAATTTCATCATATATTTTGAGTGAAAATTATGATAAATTATTATATTTAGGCACCGTAAGTAGAATTAATTGTAAATAATATAAACATATAGTTTTTTAATCTAATGTATTTGCATATAGCTTTACTTGTGGTGTCTGGACATAATAATTTGTTAACGATTTGTAATTAAATTTAAAATATTGTCCTTTTTTGTTTTTCTAGGTTAAAGTTATGCAAACAACAACAACATCAACTCTTTGTCCCACTACGCGGGGTCGGCTACATGAATCCTTTTTCGCCATTGTGCCCTATTAAAAGTCAATTTCTCATTTAAATATAATAAATAAAGATCATTTCTAATATTTTCTAACCAAGTCTTTTTAGGTCTAACTCTACCTTTCTTAACATAAGTCAAATATAATACCTCAACTTTCCTATCCGGGTCATCAGCAGGCCTCTGCTTGATGTGACCAAACCATATAAGGAGGCGACTCTCTCTAATCCTATCTTCCACTGGAGCTACTCCAACCTTTTCATGTATATGCTCATTTTGTATCCTATCTCTAAGGGTAAAGTCATTCATCCACCTAAGCATCCTCATCTATGCAATGCTTAACTTAATATTATCCTTCTCTTTTAATGGCCAACATTTGGCACCATAAAGCATTGTAGGTCTCACCACCATCTTATAGAATTTTCCCTTAAGTTTGAGGGGGACTTTTCTATCGCACAACAAGCCCGATGCATTCCTCCACTTCAACCAACCAACTTGAATTATGCTAATAATATCCTCATCTATTTTACCATCACTTTGAACAATAGATCCAATATATTTAAAATATGTACTTTTATTAATAACTTGATCGCCCAAAGTCACAATCCCCTCACTAGGTCTATTGCTACTAAAATTACACTCAATATATTTAGTTTTAGATCTACTCAAGCGAAATCCTTTAGACTCTAAGGTTGACCTCCATAATTCAAGTTTACCTTCAACTCCCTCTCTAGTCTTATCAACAAGAAGAATATCATCAGCAAAAAGCATACACTAAGGTACATCCTCTTGCAAATGTCTAGTGAGAATTAACATCCAAGACTAAAGCAAGAAGGTATGGACTTAAGGCTGATCATTGATGTAATCCAACCGAAATAGGAAAATACTTGGTCAAACCATTTTGTGTTTGAACACAAGTAATAGCTCATGCATACATATATTTAATGATTTGAATATAAGCATTATTAACTCTCTTTTTTTTAAGAACTCTCCATAGCACTTCTCTTGGAACTTTATCGTATGCTTTCTCTAAATCAATAAAAATCATATGTAGATCCTCCTTATTCTATCTATATTTCTCCATCAAACCTCTCAATAAATGTATGGCTTCCATAATATACCTACCCGACATGAATCCAAATTGATTTTGAGAAACATTAGTATCACGCCGCAACCTACACTCCATAACTCGCTCGCATAGTTTAAAGTATGACACATTCACTTAATTCCTCTATAATTCACACACTCATGTGCATCACTTTTATTCTTAAAAATAGGAATTAATACACTCATTTTTTACTGATCTGACACATTTTTAGTCTTCAAAACAATATTAAAAAGTTTAGTAAGCCAATAAATTCCTTCATCTCCTAAGCATTTTCACATCTCCTAAGCATTTTCACATCTCTATTAGAATATCATTAGGTCCAACAGCTTTTCCATACTTCATTTTATTCAAAGCCTCTTTAACTTCGATTTTACTAATACGCCGATAAAAATAAAAATCTTTATTTTTATTTAGGGTACTAAAGTCACTAAAGTCAATCGTATATTCATATTATTCATTAAAAAGTTTAGCAAAATATCTCATACGCCTTTGTTGAATATCATTTTCTAAGAAAAGTATTTTTTGATTTTCATCCTTAATACACTTCACTTGAACTAAATTATTATTACTCATATCTCTTAGTTTGACTAACTTATACATATATCTTTATCCATCCTTAGTATCTAATATATTATATAAATCATTAAAAGTTAAGCTATTTGCATCACAAATAACTTTCTTAGATTCCTTACAAGCCTCTTTATAGCTTTCTCAATCATCAGAATTTTTACATTTAAATCAATTTTTATAACAAATCTTCTTGTTTTTAATCTTTTCTTGTACATTTGAATTCTACCACAAACTATTTTTATTATTAGAAATTTTTACCTTCGAAACTCCAAGCACATTTTTTACAATATTCTTAATATCACTAGTCACTTTTCCTACATAATATTAGTAGGGGTGTCAATATTTGACCCGACCCGAAAACCAGACTCGAACCAGACCCAAAAATTTCAGGTTCAGGTCAACCCGAACCGGGTAAAACCGGGCCGGGTTTGGGTGGACCCGAAAACCTGAAAATCTGAAATCAACCTGGTTTGACCCGTTTTTAATTAATTTAGGAGGGTTTTAATGGAATTTGATTTAGATTTAAATAAATTGAATTAAATAAAAAAATTAATAAAATATACCCGAATCGGGTCTGGTTCGGGTTGACCCGAACCCGAAGCGGGTCGAGTTCGGGTTCAGAAACCCGACCCGTTTGCAAAAAAGGGTCGGGTTCTGGTCGGGTTGAATAGTGTCGGGTCAATTTCGGGTTGGACCCGAACCCGACCCGTGACCCGATTTTGATAGTCCTAAATATTAGTATCCTTATGCACAGACAAAATCTTAAGATATAAAATATTACTCAAAAAAATACTTTTGTTAATATTTTTTAAAAGGCCCCATCTAATCATAGAAAATCATTTTACTTTATTTTCTATTTTCAGCCACTTTAACTTAAAGTCCAAAACTAATAATCGATGTTGGGTACATAAATTTTCACTCGGAATAATTTTATAATCTTTACAATCTAACCGATCTAATTTTCTTATAAAAAAAGAATCAATCAGCATTTTATTGTATCTATTTTTATAAGTGATAAGATGCTCATATCTTTTTTTAAATAAGGTGTTAACTATTAAGAAATCATAAACTAAAAAAAAAAAATTTAATATGGTCTTACCACCTTCATTTGTCGTTCCAAACTCATGGCCACCATGAATGCTTCTAAAATCATCTACCTCTCTACCAACATGTCTATTTAAATATCCTACAATAAATTTTTTTTTTTCAAAATGTATCTTTTATATTAATTCTTCTAAATCATTCTAAAATTTTAATTTTAAACTTACATCCAAACCTACTTGAGGAGCATAAGCACTTATAATATTAATATATAATCTTAGCATCAATAAAAATATTTAAAACTATAATTATATCTCCAATTTTATTATTTTCTATAACATTATCCTTCAAACTCTTATCTATAATCACACCTACACCATTTCTAGTACGATCATACCCCAAATATCTTGTTTATAACCTAAACTATCAATCTCCTTAGCCTTATCTCCAACCCATTTAATTTTCTGAATGCTCGTAATATTTATCTTCATATTGATCATAATATATATTAAATCCATTAATTTTCCTGTAAGGGAGCCAATATTCTAAGTTTATATCCTAATTTTAGTTTCATGACTAGTTTCTTTGCCTATAATCGTCCTTTATGTGGGAACCCTTACCTATTTAACACCACACCCAGACGTCGGTGTAGCGGCCCTTGCACACTTGTCGATGCATTCAGGCCATACAGCGCGCTTCCAAGAGACGCCCTAATATTAACATAATTTTTTAAAGGATTCATGTCATGATTATTCGACAAATTTTATGCTGGCTGTCGCTACCTAATGCAGCCCTCCACTTTTCTCATCCAGGACTTGGGACCTGACAACGATAGTGTTTAACATTATGCAAAAAAGGAGAAAATTTCATTGAAGAATAAAAAAAATTATGATTACTTGAAATTTTAAATA